GGGCTCCAACAGATTGTGTTGGCAGATGTCGGGTGGATGACCATTAGGGCAGGAGTAGCATATCTAAGCAACTTGACCAAACATGTTTCCAGTGATCCCCACAGGATGGTATCTGCAGACTTACTCGTCAGCCGCAGAGGTGTATATTTTCATTAGCACATGTCCGTTCAACCCTTATGATTCAGAAGCGGGGGGACCTTGGGAGTACTCCATTTCGCTTGTTTTAATAGATCTTTTAATGGTAGCTCATTTCTAGGCCTTCAGCTGGAAGATCCGCTCTGGCAGCTTTTCTAAGCCTGTGATTTGTGGGTTGCCAGCTTTCTAGTGTCATTCGTATAGATCTAGCCGGTCATAGAAGATTTCGGTTTGATAGCTTCTAAATGATCCTGATTTTGATCCGGTGCACATCTGCATCCTGGACAGGTTTCTTAGGTGGGATCGACTGTGTTTTTCTTTATGTAGCTTACATACCTTTGATTGTTACGTGATTGTTCAGAAAATGAAGGTAGTTGTAGTAGCAGTGATGCTTCGTATTATAACCATAGGCTATTAGTGGAGAAGAAGAACCCGATCATTTGAGAACACACGTTTTGCAGCTGCTGCTGGACCCCATGCAGTGAAGGGATCCGTAGGTGTGTGTGTATGTATGTGTGTCTCTGTGTATGTGTGTGTGTGTGTGTGTGCGTGTGTGTGTGTGTGTGTGTGTGTGTGTGTGTGTGTGTGTGCCTGTGTGTGTCTCTTCTGAACCCCGACTGTATGCACAGGACGCATTTGTGTGTGTGTGTGCCTGTGTGTGTCTCTTCTGAACCCCGACTGTATGCACAGGACGCATTTGACTGATGGATAAGGACTCGTCACATCGCCCAGACCCCATAGTCGACGATACCTCTGAGAAAAGTCGTGTGTGTTGTGTTGTGTGTGTGTGTGCGTGTGTGTGTGTGTGTGTGTGTGTGGGTGGGTGGGTGGGTGGGTGTGTGTGTGTGTGTGTGTACCTTTGCCAGGGTGTGTATGTTTGCCCCTGCAGGGGGTGCAGCAGTAGCAGCGATATAGATTGCATCGGCTGCTGCACCCCCTACAGCTGCTGCAGCTCCTTGGCAGAGTGCAGTTTTTTTTTGTTTTTTTTTTTCCTCCCTTACAGACTGCCAGCCTTTTTTTTTTTTTTTTTTTTTTTT